ATAGATAGATAGATAGATAGACAGACAGACAGACAGACAGACAGACAGACAGACAGACTCTCTGTAAATATATCTAAAACGTGAAAACTGCCTATAGGTCCACATTGGTACTTAAGTAGAAATGATGAATTATCTGTATCTCTCTGAGTTCAGTTGAAATTGATAGCATACACATGTCATTTCTTTTATTGATAAGAAAGTGCCTTAACTCTGGATTTCATTAAACCCAGTGCCAAAATGCCCCCAAAGCATAATTCCCCAAGACATTTTAATTAAATGAAATAGCATTCTAACACTTAGAATTTTTGAAAACTACCTGAAAATCTGAGTAGCACAGACTTACCAAAGATTTATATTTCTTTTCAAGTAGCCTTAACACTACCGTTCTGCTGTAGTAGGCATGCTAATACGACAAAGCAGAAACATAATACAGTTAACACTTGTTTCCGAACAAAGTTTTATTCAATTCTTTCTTCAATTATTACAATTGATATTGCAACAGCATTGTATAAACAGGACATAGTATATATTAACATAAATTCAATTCAGTGCAAGATCAGAAATCAAATCCATTTTAATGAAAACGGTCACCTTTATAGGAAACCAAATGAACATACATTGCACAATTACACAAACACAGTAAGAGGAAATCATAAATAATAGCTATAGATGTTGGTCTGAAGACAAAATAACAATAAAAAGATTTGCTGGATCATACCCAAAGTTTTCCACTTTAAAAATAAATAATCATTTCACATTTGTTTAAAAAGATGGTGCAAAATTCCCAGGAAAAAGAATATTCTTATATTTTCATTTCCATGCCTATTTCTTGATGCCACCGATAATATTTTCAATTACACTGCAGAATTTACAAATGTATAAAACAATTTGGCTGCATCCAGCAAAAGTCTCCTATAGACACACCATACTTCTGTCAGCAGGTTTCTGACCTAGTCACTGTTTTCTTATTTTGAATCTGCAAAGAACTATACATAAATTATTAGTGTGCATGCAGATTTACTTTTACGTTTGTGCCATGGAGAAGCTGTGTCAGCTTCTCTTCGGCTTTTCAGTGAGACAACCTTGAGGTGGCAAACTGCGTTGCTTTGGGCATGAAGCGAATTGGGCTGCTGCACTCCCAACAGATCTACCTCCATAGGCATTAGTTATGGGCCTAGTGTGGGCACACAGGAACCAAACACCGGAGCTAGATCCAAAACATTGATTTAATCTGCTTGGCCCTCTATGGCTTGGGACATAGGTACTTGAAGAACTGCCTCTTTCAGACAGAACTGGCCCTTTGCCTCGAATGGGGCTAGTGAGAGTGAGATGAGGGGAGGGGGAGCAAGAGCACATAGTTTTTCAATTTATGCTCCATCCCTGTGGAACAGGAAGATTTGGATGCTATTCTCTCTGAGGGCATGCAGAAGTATTGGGATTAATAAAAATCTTCATATATTTATACTAAATACAATTGCCTGGTGAAAGCGTATGTGTCACTGAATCCTTATGTGAGCAAAAGCTGGCCCAACCAGATAAACAAATACACTGATCCTTCTAACCTCTCAAGATGTGATTGCTATCCTTGTCCAATTTCAACAACTATCGGTTCCTCTATGAAACTGTCTGGGTACTTGAAAATGAAAATAATTCACTTCTAGGAAGCAGGAGAAAGCCCTTTAAATGCTTGCAGCTGGCAATTTCAACAGGGAAAAACACTATTAGAACGTAAGATTGTAAGCAGTGCCCTGCTGGATCAGACCCTTGGCCCATCTCATTCAGCAATCTATTCTTACAGTGGCCAACCAAGTGCACAAGCAATTCCACTAGTCTCTCAGCAGAGATGGTCTTCAGAGGCTGATCCACCACTGATCCTCATGACTTCCATGAATTGGTCCAACCCCCTCTTTTGGGGCCAGCCATGCTGGTAGCCAGCAACACATCTTGTGGTAGGGAGTTCCAAAGCTTATTTACATGTTGTGTAAAAACAATACCTTTAGTCTGTCCTGATTCTTCCAGGATTCAATTTCATTGGGTGACCCCTGGTTCTGATATTTTGGGAAGGGGAAAATAACTTCTCCTTATCTGCTTTATCCACACCATGCATAATTTTGTACACCTCAACCATGCCCCCTCTCATTTGCCTCCTTTGTAGTCTAAAAAGCTCCTAATGTGATAACCTTTCCTCATATGGAAGTTGCTCCAGCCCCTTGATCATCTTAGTTGCCCTCCTCTGAACCTTCTCTAGTTCCACTATATTCTTCTTGAGGTTTGGCAACCAGAACTGCACACAATATTCCAGATGCAGCTGCACTATTGATTGATATAAGGGCATTGTGATATTGGCACCTCTATTTTCAATACCATTTCTTATTATCACTAACATGCTGTTGGTCTTTTTTTACAGTGGATGCACACTGTGACAAACTTCACAGTGCCTTCATCGAACTGTTTACCATTATTCCAAGACCTTCATCCTCATCAGTCACCACTAGCTTTGATCCCACTAGTTTGTATGAGTAGTTAGGATTTTTGGCACCAATACACATTACTTTACACTTGCTCACATTGAATGACATCTGCCATTTTGACACCCACTCCCCTAACAGGCAGAGATCCCTTTGAGCTCTTTGCAGTCTCTTATTGTTTTACCACTCTGGACAATTGAGTGTCATCAGCAAACTTGGCTATTCCACTAGTCACCCCCAATTCCAGATCATTTAGAAATATGTTTAAAAAGCAGTGATCCTAGGACAGAACTCTGGAGGACCCCACTAGTTACATCCGTCCATGGTGAGAAATGTCCATTTACTCCTATTCTTTGTTTTCTGTTCTTTAGCCAGTTGTTTATCCATAAGAGGACCTGCCCTTTTGTTCTGTGGCTATTTAGCTTACTGAGAAGTCTATGATAAGGGATTTTATCAAAGGCTTTTTGAAAGTCTAAGCAGATGATGTCCACTGGCTGAATGTTTACTAACACCCTCAGAAACTATAGATTAGTTAGACAGGACCTTTCCTTAGTGAAGCCATGTTGGGTATTCTTGAGCAAGGCCTATGTCTCTAGATGCTGGGTAATTTTATACTTAATTGCAGTTTCTACTATCTTCCCCAGAATAGATGTTAAAATGACAGGCCTCTAATTTTCTGGATCTCCCTTAAAAATTAAGGGAGAAAAATTAAGCCCTTCTTAAAAATTAGAATTATGTTGGCCACCTTCCAGTCTGCAACTGCAGAGACTGAGTATAGAGACAGGTTGTATATTTTAGTTAGAAGTTCCACAGTCTCAGCTTGGGATGGATGCCATCAAGGCTTGGTGATGTGTTTATGTTAAGAAATGGAAGTTACATGGAACTGTTGAAGTCAAGACAAGATCTGGACAACCAAGAAAAATCTACCTTGAAAGTGGTCATTTTTGCAAAAAAGCACCAACAGATCACTGCAAATGACTGGCTAAAAAGTTTAGGTGATACTGGAGTTGCTGTCCACAGGCCCACAGTAATGTGTAGACAGAAGAAAGAATAGATTCAGTTAAATATTAACATATCTTAGAAATTAATGTCCCACCATTAGTAGGGGGGAAAAAAATGAAGTTGAAAAGAGGATGGATATTTCATCAATACTTTTTGTAGAGATACACTTTTGCTTAGTCCATTTGCACCAAGATAAGAACCTTGGAAGAGTAACAAAATTAGACTATTGCAATGTACCCTACATGGGGCTATCCTTGAAGAGTATCCAGAAGCTACAGCTGGTGCAAAATGCAGCTGCGCGGGCAATTTTGGGTACCCCAAGGATGGCACATGCAACACCTTGGCTCTGGGAGTTGCATTGGATACCACTTTGCCTCCAGGTCCAATTCAAGGCATTGGTTATCACCTTTAAAGCCCTACATGGCATGGGACCTGGCTACCTAAGGGACTGTCTCATCCCCGTTACATCGACCTGTCCCACCTGGTCAGGCAGAGAAGGTATATTACGGACCCAGTCTACAAAAGAATGTTGACTGGTGGGGCCCGGGAGAAGAGCCTTCTCTGCCGTTGCCCCCACCCTATGGAACACTCTTCCCCCAGAGGTGAGGCAAGCTTCTACAATCCCGGCCTTCCAGAAAGGGGTGAAGACCTGGCCCTCCCAACTCGCATGGGGCGTGAGGAGGGGTAACCAACCCTGGGGGTGGCTGGCACCTTGAAGACGCTCCCGCAGGTTAACAACCATCAATTACCATCAATTATTTTGGAAGATGTTAGTTATCAATTGAACATTGGTATTTTAATCAGTATTTTAACCAGTATTTATTTTTGTTTTTATTGTAAACCGCCCAGAGTCGCTCATTGAGTGAGACGGGCAGTCATTAAATTTGAAATATAAATAGAAACATAAATAAAATAAGATTGAATATGAAAAATATACATTATTCCTTACCATCCATTTTTTAAACCACACAGCCTTGAGATCAACCAATGCCAAAAAGTATACTGGATCCCAAAATTTGGAAGAAATAGTCTGAGTTAAATTATGATTTACTGCCAGAAGGGATAAAGTACTCTCCATTATTTCTTCCATGTATCTAAATAGATTGGAAAGAAAGAGCTTCATAAATATCACAATATTGGCATAGATGCTATTTGCACCTAAGCTTTTGGAAAAAATGTAATTTACTATTTTTGATTTTACTCATTAATAATGTAATTTTAAAAGTCTAGAAACCATCTCATTCCACCTTAGACCAATCACTCACAAAAGAGAATTAAGACATTTAGACTACTGTATGTAAAACTGGAATACTGTGAATCTGTTTACTGGGAAAGAGTGCTTACATTATGAAGTTAGACTGGAAGAAGAATTTAAATTAGGCAGAATGTCATTGTTCAAGCTGAAATGAACCTAAGGTCAAATCAAAAGGAAAAGCAGTTTTGATTCTAATAGCACCATGCTGTGAGATTAAAATAGCGACATCAAATTTCAGTGGGATACATTCCTAAGTAACAAACACAAGACTGCAACATAAATCTTCAAACGTATCATGTGAAACCCGTTGCAAGTAGGCAAATAGCACAAAGATTGGGGGAGGCAGTCAGAAATAAAGGATCTTATTCCCTTTACAGGTGCTCAAGTTTCATACAGACTTATGACAGCTCACATTGCAACTACAAGTAAAAAGCCTTTTCACTACATTGAGACGAAGGCAAAGCATATGATAACCTAAGCATATTTCATCATCCCTATCTATCAATCAGCATAAGGAAACTGGAAACACAAATGAAAACAACCACAACCACATTAATATATATATATATATATATATATATATATATATACACACACATATACACATATACACACACACACATACATACACACACACACACAACTACTTTTCCGGATGACGTATCCAAAAAGAAGAGACTTCCCTCTGGTATTCATTTAGGAGTCGCATCTATGAATAAAAGGATAATTGTTCTTTTTTAAAACCCTTGATCAAAAACATCTTAAATAACTAAACAAAAATTAGAAAATAAGTATATTGTACCTTTTTAAGTAAACGTATTATGTCTGGGTTACTTATGTCAATACCCACTGATACAGTAGGAATGTAATTATCTTCAGCAAGAAAGTACGCCTCTAAGTACTTTGCTGTAAAGAGAAAAATAATTGCCAATTAATTTAAGAGGCAAGTTAAAATTGTGGTCATTGGTTTCTGAAAAGAAGTAACTTGAGTTCACCTAAGCTTGTATAGAGTTCTCTTGTCATATTTAATGGAGAGGAGGAAAATGTCTTGGCATAGAATTTCAAGACTTTATCCTGTAAAAACAAGAATTAAAGCCAGGTTACTAGGCACAGACATCTGTTAACAATGATGATCCCAAAATGATGAAACAAGAGTTGTAACATCAAAGTGCAAGCTCCACCATTTTCTACATGCATCATGACATTACATGTGAGTGCATAAGAGCTGTAATGCAGATTTAGTTATTTGCCTTCCCTTGGTCCCACAGCTCACCTGAATTACTAGGGTCATGTAATCTTAACCAAACCTGTACAACAGTCATTGCCATATATTGCTGGTCTCTTTGACTTACTTTTTTCCCATTTATATCCTGTCTTTCCTTCAAGAATCTTGAGGAGTCTAAGATGGTTGTTGGTACCATGATTATTAGTAAGATTTATAGTGCTCCTTTCCCCCAGAAGCAAAACTCCTCCAAGGTGGAGTGGGCTGAGACAGAGAGACTTTAAGTCATCTACTGAGCTGCCATGGCTGATAGACTGGAACTGGGGCCTCCCAAGTCCTATAGTCCAGCACTGATCTACTTCATAGGTTGAGAGAGTATTACTATCCCAAATAAGTCACATGACTGATTTAGGACTTGGGTTAGGATTCTCTCAACTGAAATTCAAAACTAAGTATGACATGACATTACATTGTCTCCCACAGCTCTACCTTAATATAACTCCAGATGGAGCTCATAAATACAAATCAAGATTTTCCTTTCTAAATTAAATACTCTCCAATGGCTGAAAATTACGGTGCAAATGTATCAGCTACAATGGATTAATCAGAACAACATTCAAGTTTATATACACACAAAGCATTAACTATTACACATTACTAACACATTAGTAATCTTGCATCTAATCTTTCTGGGGCTCTGGGAAGTTGCTCTGCTCTAATACAAAGAAAATTAAATCCTACAATATTATGATATTACAAATGATGTTTTCCCCAACACTGAAAAAGTCATAAAAATATGCATGTCTGCTTCTTTAACCATACTCTGACAATCACTCTGAACTACAAATTTCTAACAAAGATGATACAAGTGTCTGGAATTTATACACCATATAAATTACAATCAGATGAAATACTGGTCAAGAATAAAAAGCCTAATAGCATCTTTACACTGAAACTGGAATCAGGATCTGAGAGTGCTGTTGCAAGATGTTTATGTAAGCTACTCCAACTCTCACAATTTAAAATATCAGATGGGGGTGCAGAACACAAGGTTTGTATGGCTTCTTGGCGCACCTAAAAATCAAAGAGAAGTGGGTGAAAAAAACTGCATTATCAGAATAAAGATATATTAGAAACCTACAATAAAGGCTATGTCGAAAATCTATTTCTACATCATCACCCTCACAATTAAGAATGATGGAAAAAATATTTCTTGGCCTTTTTCCTTTGCATAACTCTAACTTTTGCTATACCTTTTTGTACTTCCCTCTTACCTCCCTGTACCCCTTTTGTACAGACCCTCTTTCCTCCCTTATTTAGCCTCACACTTTCCTCTCAGTCTGTCTTCCCAAATTCTGCACAGCTTGTCTATGACTTCCATCTCATCTCCTCAGTTTCAGCACTGCAGCAGAATTGAGTCAGCTAACTCAAGATGGACTGGAAAGCCTTCCCTTCCCTTCCCTTCCCTTCCCTTCCCTTCCCTTCCC